CCCCAAAACCCCAAAACCCCGTATTATTAAATATTAGTAAGAATTTATGGATGAAATTAAGTATTTAAATTCTAAGCTTTCATTATGAGTATTAAATTATCATTAACTTTAGAATACCTCAAGTCTGGTATTAAGTTATTAAGTTTAATTCTTAATGGTGATGTCACTGTTATCAGCTTTAAAAATTTTCATAGTTTGGTTTTCTGAGTGTTCAATAGCATTTGAAAATATGATTTCCATACTAGATAGGTTTTCAATGTTGGAGCTTCGAGCTCAAGGGTCCTCTTCTTAGATACTATACTGAATATTCTTTTCTATTTCTCAGCATCCTTAACCTTTTTACTCTTAACTTAACCATCCTTAATCTCCTTTACATATTTTAGTTCGACATAACCTTTGCACTTAAGTAATTCTTTTTTGGGATCACTCCAGCATATTCTCTGCTTTTCTTTGTCATACCAGACATGCCTGAACTTTGCACTGAACCATCTATGATGCTTTATGAAGTAATTACCTTTTTGCAGGCAAGCCATCCAATCAGTATTAAAGTTTAGAGCAGATGATAAGGTTTCAGACTAGGTATTCTTTCTCGACTACTACTAGGAAACCAAAGTATCTCTTGGAGTCTACATTGTATTTAGAATCCCAGTTTTTTATTATGTTGATGGAGTTATATATGTGGATTGCTGTGATTCTGATTCAGAGAAACAAGACGAGAGTGATTGCTTGATTAATGGACCTTTGGACAATACCTCGCTTGTTTATTTGCTATAAGCATGACTCTGATTGCATTAAGGCTACGTATTAACTCTTAAAGTGTCTGCTTATTTGCCAGAATCACTGCTCTATTCACTGAATAGATTTTTTCTCCTTACGCACGGTGACTTTGAATTGTACTAGTTATTAATATCTTTGAAGTTGAGCTCTTCATTTCCATTGCCTGAAGTGTCATCTCCTCCTAATTTAGGGAGACTTTCAACAAATACTTCTGAGAAAAAGTTTTAAAAACTACTCTAGGGTTTTATCTCAGAGTATATATTAGATAACCCTTTACTTTTAATTGATTTGATATGTGGTTCATTGCTAATATCCTTTCTAAGTTCTGGAAGATCGAAGTCTTTCAAGTCATTTAACTCAAAGTTAAACTTGGATGATGATTGCTATAATTTATCCATATACGGATGCTTGAAGAATTTCCGTTCCTCTTCTTCAGTATTTCTTAATTCAGTAAGTTATAACATTTTTAAATATTATATTCCAATTACATGAAATAATATAATAAAGTTAGCTCGATAATTTGTGATTTTTTTTCTAATTCATAATATTATCTGATTTTTTATAGTTTTAATAAGGAGGGGTTTTGGGGTTTTGGGGTTTTGGGGTTTTGGGG